CGCAAATTTTTTCCCCACCACCACAAAAAAGGAGCTCATTCAATCTGCAATTATTTTACCCCCTGCATTTATAAAAAGCGAAAAACGTTATTGTGGCTATAAGTAATGCTTTTTGCATTAAAATAATTACAAATTCCTTAAACGCGTGTTTTTTTAGGTGTAGAATGCGGCGCGGGCATGTTGTTTGGCTTTGGTGCTGGTGCAATTGTGTTGGGAGAGGTAGAGTTTAGGTGGGGGAAAAAATTTGCGGTCCAGACTTTTTTGGTCAGGGCGTGTATTCTCACCAGTTGATACCGTGCGAAGACGGAGCGCAGCTGCCGTCTCAGTCGACGCAGCTGTGACACCAGCTCTGCCCCACAATCAAAAACGTGCAGGATTTGGGAGGATTGGACGGCACGGCAGCGACCTCTGGCTGACGGCTGACGGGCGCAGCAAACACAGGGCAAGGCACGGACCCTGGGTTCAATCTTTGAATCCCCACAGCGTCCCGCCAATGCCCAGCTCAGCACAGCCTTTGGCATCACATTCAATCTCGAGTCTCCCTTCATTACGAGCGGCGCGTGCTTTCCCGTACAAGTGCATGGATTGAACGGATTGCATCTATCCAACCCTTCACAGCTGTGCCGTGACGATCCCCAGCGCCCGCTCTGCGTCGCCTGCCTGTCTCGGGCTTCTCTAGGGTCCGGCCGGCCCCTCCTCGCTGTTAGTCGCGTCCTCGTTGGCACGCCGACCAGGCGCTTCCGCCGCTACCCCAGAGTCCTCCCTTCGGTTGCGACACCAATTGCCCACACAGCATGCCACATTCCACACCTGCGTCACGCGGCTGATACATGATACATCAAAAATACAATCACCAAGCGAAGCCCCCGAGGCTCACACGCCGCCGCCATCATGCTCTCCCACCTCCGATTCCACAGACGTCCGCCGTCGAACCCGACGTCACCGCTCCCGGACCAGTCGAGCCCTTGGGACTCCACGCAGTCGCAGGAGCATCCGCAAGCCTCGCTAGACCCTTCTCCCCGCCTCGACTCCCGTCCTCGCTCATCGAATGCTCCAAACGAACCGCCGACGCTACCGCCGATAGCCAGAGTCACCTCGGAGAACGACACGTTGTTCGATAAGAAGTCGTTCGTGGCCCAGACCGCACCCCAAGACCCGAGGTCACCCCCACAGCCATCAGCCAAGGAAGTCAAGTCTCCTCCGCAGCCCCGGCCTTCGTACAGCGGCAGTGAAGCCGGCTTCATCGGAGGCGTGGCACTCCAGAAATACCGCAAGAGTCTCCAACATGGTCAATACATGGGGCCTGACACGGCGTCCACGCCGCCATCCCTTCCTGAGAGCGCGCTTTCCCGGTCAAAGCCGCCCCCTCCACCCATCAACACTGGCGTGAGCGACCGTCCCCCTCCCGTGCCCACGAGGCAGCCGAAAGCTCCCTCGAGCTTCGTCGCGCCGACCGATATTAACTCTGGCCCCACCCAGCCTACCGGAAAGAGGCCGGCCGGCACAAGGCTTGCCACGGAGCCGCCCAGCTTTTCCCATCAAAGTGGCAGCGCCGCGGCACCAGAAGCGCAAAAGACTAGGAGAAGCTTGCCGTTTCTCAAAAACCCCGTCTCCACACTGTTGATGCGCCGCAGGATGGGGCAGAACGCTTCGGATATCACCCCCGAACCCCTCTCCCTACAGAACTCCGAGCCCACCTATGATCCGCGTATCAAGGGCACGAGGGTTCACGATTTTAGTGCCCCTCGGCCTCGCCGTATTGTATCCCCGCCGCCGAGTCACGGCCCACCAAATCCAATGGCCAGTCCCGAATCTGTGTCTGGATATCAAATTCCGGCTCTCGACAAAAAGGTCGAGGTGGCCGCGGCCCATGCTGGGCCACAAAGCTCTCCGGAAAAGCAGCCAAGCGGAGGACCGCAATCTCTAAAGCTGGAGCCCTCGCTGCAACTTGAACCCGATGGTGGCGATGCCAATCAAGTGTCCCCAACCGCCCCACCGATACCTACAAGATCTGATAACCGGCGAAAGGCCTCCCTCGAGAGGAAGGCGGTGCCAGGGCAACTAGTGCAGGTCCAGGACAACCCGCCAGCACTGCCACCCAAGGACTCTCGTACCACTTCTACCCGGACAGCTTCGACCAAGTCAACCAAAACATCCGAGAACGGAAGCCTCCACGAGCTTCCTAGAAAGATGTCGTCGACAAGGAGTACCATGTCACGAAACGCCTCAGCATCCGGCCGCTCTGTGAGGGATGGTGTTCTCGCCGCCCTGCCCAGGCACATGAAGAGTACCTCTTCTAGATTTAGCTTCGACATGATCGGTGCAGCAAGACAGGAGAAGCTTTTGGAGGAAAGACACCGACAAAGAGCACTGGAGCGGAAAGATAGCGATCCAGGGCCGGGCCACCGGGACTCCCGGTTTGACGATATGGACGAATTCGACTACGACGCCATGATGGATGATGATGGGCTCGAGGAGAGGATTCCTGGCGTCAATGCGGATGCCGAGGACGACGACTACTTGTACGGGGAAGAAGAGATTCCGATGATCGGGGAAGACGATATTCCGATGATCGGAGAAGAGGAGATACCTATGATTGGCATAGACGAGGTGCTAGACGAGGACGAAGAGATGGATCCCGACAACGACCAGGAGAACTTTGCTGGGTTCGTGTTCCAGCGATCGAACCCGGTTTCAGAGCTGGCGAGCCCAATGTCGCCGACAATGCTGGACACACCGCGGGACGACAGCGGCAAGGTGATCGGGTTCGCCGTGACCAAGGATTCTTCGACCCCTGGAGTTAAAAGCCAACTCGCCGCATCTCCCGTCATACTGGCTGAACCGACGAAGCTGGAGCAAGCAGTATCCGGTCTGGGCATCCGGTCTTCGCCACTCGGTGTCCAGACGTCACCGGCGCTCACATCCGAGTTTGTGGAAAAGAGAAATCAGCCGGTGGGGGCGTACGGTCAAAGGCCCCGATCCCGAAAGGATGAACTTTACTACGATGACGGATTCACAAATGAATTTGCCGACGAACTGGACTTCGGCGGCGAAGCGCCGTCTGGCGAGCCGTTCGACGAGTCCATTTTTGACCTTGACGACACGGACCGGTATGGGCGACCGATCCCGGGCGCCTTCGCTCAGGCCCAAGCCCAGCGCGCAGCCGAGCGCCAGGCATCTGTGAAGAGGGAGTCAGACACAAATTCGCGCCCATCCACGCAATCAGTCGTGTCCGAATCGACCGCCAATACTTCGCTCAGCACTGAGTTGGATGTCGGCGCCGTTCCTGCTGTCTCCAGCGATGACGCCGAGAACAAAAAGGCTCAGGTTTCTGCCCCAGAGGCACCTTCTGCCCCCGAGGCACCATTAGCTCAGGCCGTCGAGGGCGAGGCTGTTGTGGAGGAGTTGCTCCCGGTCCTCTCCAGTGAAGACGCCATGTATCAGGCCGCCCTTGCCGAGGCCACACAACGGGCGGCACTGTCGGGCAAGTTCCGTAGGGACTCGTCGCCACCCCTGCCGCCAGCGGACCTGCTCATCATCTCCCCCACAACAGCCTCGGACGCGCCGCATAGCGGTCGCTCCGACGCGCCGCCCGAGGGCTTCGACAATGACTACTACGAAGACGACCCGTACACGCAGGATATGGACGACTACGACTTGGACGACGACGATATCGTTGCCGAGGCCAATGCCTCGGCGCTTGCTAACGATTCGGATGGTTGGTACGGCCAGGAATTCGGTTTCTATTCCAATGCTCCAGGTGGGCACCATTTGGGTAGCGCGAGTGGACAGAGTGCGCAGAACCCGTACGAATACTCCAACGGCGGCTACTTTGGTCCGTCGGGCGGCCTCAACATTGGCAGAAGCGCCAGCGGGCGTGTCCTCTCGCGCGAGCCCAACCTGACACCCATCACAGAGCGCTCCGAGTACTCGAACCGCAACTCCATCATGTCAATGGGCCTGCCATCAGCCATCGGTAGTGGGCCCGATAGGAACAGCCTCCAGAGCCCAGGCCTGGCACAGCTCGCCATGATGGCCGATGACGATAACCTGACGCTCTCGTCGCTCCTACGATTGCGGTCGCGGGCTTGGGGCGGTTCTCAGCCCAGCCTAGTCAGCAGCCGTGAGGGCAGCCCGAGGTCTGAGCGGCCCGGGCCGTTCCCGTTATCGGCGTCAGCCGTTGCTGATGGACCCCTGTCGCCATGGGCCTCGCCTGGCCCGGTGCAGCCTCAGCTCTCGTCACCCTGGGCTTCGCCCGTCGTGGCGCAGCCAGTTGCTCATTCGTCTTCCTTCCTAGGCGTGAACCACGCGCGAAAGAATTCCGCCCTATCGGCCTGGGGCAAGGACTCGGACGCCGGCAGCGGGAGCGGCAGCCCGACGTTGATGATGAGCTCCGCATTCCCGCCGCCCACCTCGCCATCCCCCCTGCTTCAGACCACGACTCGCTCGCACTCGCAGTCATCTATACCTCACGCGCACATTGCATCTATGTTGCTGCCGTCCTCGTCGCCCTCCCTGGTGGGCAACACCTCGTCGCCCTCGGCGAGTGTCTCGCCACCAGAGGAAGTAGCACCGATCACGTCCAGCGTTACTGCCGGCACAGCGAAAGAGGTGCGTCGGATCCCTTCGTCGGGGTTCTCGACATGCAAACCCTCGTCAGTCCACGGCGACGACAACCAAGCATCATTCACTGCGAACGGCCGTGTTACGGCGAGCTTGTCTGATGCTGCAGTGCCACCACTTCCGCTGCTACGGAGCTCGACACTTGGGCTGGTTGCGTCAACCTCTGTTGTTGGGGATATGGAAACACTACCCACACAAACACCCCAGGCAGACTTGGGTCATCACAGATCTGGCAGCATCTAGGCTTGGATACAAGATGCAGACCCCTACTAGCGCTTAAAGGGGAACCAGCCCCCTTGGTCCCGCGACTTTGTTTCTTTGCATGTACTACAAGGAGTTACCGGATAGCTTGATACCACGGGGATGACTATGTACCAGTTAGGCGCAGTTTGGATACTACCCGTCGGGCTGAAGATGTCCCGAAATCCTTGGAGTTTCCGAGCTACGTTCCTCGCACACCTAATATAGTATATTTTGTTCAGATTCCATATTCTTCCGGAGCAGACCTGGGTGGGTTGTGATGGGCCAAGGCGAGACGTTAGGATTTGGATACCAGAACAAATCGGAGTATATTCCCACTCATGCATGGTTCTCAGAGCTTGAGTATGCGTCATCCCGTGGCGAAGATGGTCCAGGCTGCTGAGGGACAATTCGTCTACAGTACTCGGTGCGGTGTGTGTCGCTCGACTCTCCCTACGCGCAACGGCGTGGGGCATGGTTCCCCCCGCACTGTCTCGGGCGGGTGAGTCTGGATAGGGACGCCCCACCCCCGCTGCGAAGGCTCGGCGATGCATGGCGTGCTGCCTAGGCCGCAGCAAGAGTTTAGGCCGCCGAGCTTAGCAAGCTAATCTTGACTTCATGTCGATCGGACGCCGTTTGAAGCCTACCGGGGGCAGGTGAATACACCGGTTCACCATCACCGTCGCACAAACATCACCAGCCAATAGTGATTGAGACGGGGAGACAGTACCTCGACATGCCATGGCCCCATTGGTGACGGGCAATGATGCAATCGCGACCCGCTGGGGCAATTGACGTCACACGGGATTTATAACGGGATTTTGGACATGGCGCCCCCGCGCGTGCTGTATATAACCTCGGCAGACCCCGCCCGATGAGACAGCACCAGAAGCCAAGCGGAGCCAGACTGGATATCCTGAATATCCTGCGCTCCTCTCCTCTCAACTTGGTTCTATCCCCTGCCAGACAGCAATCCCCACCAGCCTTACCGACGCCATGGCGAAAACGAGCAACAAAACGCTCATCTTCAAGAAGGTGCCCGACGGCTTCCCCAAGCCGGGCGACATTGTCGTCGAGGACCGGCCCATCGACCTCTCGGACTGCCCGGACGGCGGCGTCGTGGCCCAGGTCCTCTCGGTCTCGCTGGACCCCTACCTGCGCGGGCGCATGCGCGCGCCCGAGGCCAAGTCCTACTTCCCCCCTTTCGCGCTCGACGGCCCCGTCGAGAACGCGGCCGTGTGCCGCGTCGTCACGTCGCGCTCGGACCGCCTCGCCGAGGGCGACCTGGTGCGCGTCTCCATGTGCGCCGTCGCCCAGTACGCCGCCCTCCCCGCGGCCCGCCTCGAGGGCCCGCGCGTCAAGCTCGACCCGTCGCTCGGCATCGACCCGGCCCACTACCTGGGCGCGCTGGGCATGCCGGGCCTGACGGCCTTTGCGGGCCTGTACGACATTGGCAAGCCGAAGAAGGGCGAGACCATCTTTGTGAGCAGCGCCGCGGGCGCCGTGGGCCAGCTGGTGGGCCAGCTGGCCCTGCGCGAGGGCCTGAGGGTCATCGGCAGCGCCGGGTCCGACGACAAAGTCGAGTTCGTCAAGAGCCTCGGCTTCCACGGCGCCTTCAACTACAAGGAGGAGAAGCCGGACGAGGCTCTGGCGCGCCTGGCGCCCGACGGGATCGACATCTACTTTGAGAACGTCGGCGGCGAGCACCTCGAGGCGGCGCTGAACCACATGAACAAGCGCGGGCGCATCCCGGCCTGCGGCATGGTATGTCGGCATGCGCATGCACCTTCTTTCCCCTCCCCCTATCGTTTTTGTGAGAAGACTAGGGTCACTAATACTCCTCCTCTCCTTGCCCCCCTCCCCCCAGATCGCCGACTACAACCGCGCCAGCGGCGAGCAGGCCACGGGCATCCGGAACCTCTTCCTGGTCGTGGGCAAGGAGATCACGATGCGCGGCTTCCTCGTCAACTCGCTCGCGCCCGAGTACAGCCAGAAGCACTTTGAAGAGGTGTCCAAGGCGCTGCGCGACGGCAGCATCAAGGCCAAGGTGCACGTCACCGACGGCATCGAAAGGGGCCTAGAGGGCATCCTGGCCGTCCTGCAGGGCGGGAACTTTGGCAAGGCCGTGCTGAAGATTAGCGATTAAAGGCTGTATAGATAGTTGGGGCTGCTATGGGTCTTTGTATTTGTGCTAAAATGCTTCGGCTGGCTCAACCTTTGCATCTGTGATCTTGTGCGTCCTGGCCCCTATGGTGCTCGTCAGACTATCGACTCGAGTAGATTCCCAGGCCCCATTTCGTTGGCACAGTCTATGAGGAGCTGAGGCAATAAAAAGAAGGAGTCTGTCCCGAATCTTACTGGGCTCTATAGGGAACAAGGAGTAAACATCAGCATGATGGAAAGGAATCTGAGACCTACTATGTTAACGCCCTGCCGAGCGCAATGGAACAGCAGGCATCTAATCAGTCCAACACAAAGTCACGACCGGCATGTTCGTTGACGAGACCAACGAAAACCCCCGCGGTGTACAGAGTACTTGTCCCGTCAGAGGCTAGGACAAGTCCAGGAGCCCCAAATATCCATGGCAGAGATGCAGAGACGAGGAGCAGCCGAGGTGTTTGGATAGTGTGAGTGGCGAAGAAAAAGCCCTCTCTTGATTCCAAGACGACACCCTCGCCCTGAAAGCCATAGAGACGGAGTGCCGTGAGGACGCCTCCAGGCAGATCCGCGGCGTGGTCGATGTTCCACACTCGTTGGCTCTTCAGCCAACTGGAAACAAACCCTCTCGCCTTCTCCCCCAACGGACCCAGCTCCAAAGCCACAACTTGCGAGAGCACAAGCCTGCCCTCCCGCACGACTCCCGGCTGGCCACGGCCGCAGCACGGCAGCTGCAAAACGGCGGGCAGATCCCCGACCCGCGGCCTCCAGCGACGCCGCGGCTCGGCGCAGCGCGGAGCCGCCGAGAAGACGAACGAGTAGTCGCCCTTGCGCTCGCACACGCGCATAAACGCCTCGCACGCGTCGGCTCCGGCGCCGGCTCCGGCGCTGCTGGCGGGCAGGCGCGACACGGCGCCCACCATGGCGTAGAAGTGGTCCTCGGGCCGCAGCTGGCGTCGCCGGTCCATGATGGCCATGACCTGCAGCGCCGACCTTCCCTCGTACTCGGCCACCAGGTACTCGAGCACGTCCTCGAAGGCGTCGAGGCGCGGGCGCGCGCCGCGCCGCTCCAGAGGGGTGAGCGGCATGTGCGTCAGCGCGTAGCCGACGCGGTTGAGGAAGATCTCGCCGCCAATGACGGGCGCCGCGCCCGTCGTGGTGTTGGTGGAGTCGTCGCCGTTGCTGGTGAAGAAGAGCGCCCGCGCGTTGACGGCCTCCTGGTACGTCCACGCGCGCGTGACCCAGTCGTCATCCTCGAGTGCGGCCAAGTCCCCGTCGGCGGGCCGGTCCGTCTCCAGGATGTTGTCGAGCGCGGGCCGGGCGGCGGGCGAGAGCACGACGAGCACCTCGCTAGCGCGCGAGTAGATGAAGCCCATGCTCTCGAGGCAGGCGTATCGCTCGCGCGGCGGACCGGGCGGCACGCAGAAGGCGTCGATCCAGATCTTGGTCAGATGCGGCCTCGCGCGGGCCGCCGTCCGCAGAGCCGGGACGGTGCGGTCCGACACCTCGAAGCCGGCGTGGAAGGGGCTCGGCTCGCGGCCGGGGCCCCAGGTGTACGAGATGCAGAGGAAGGCGACGGGGTCGGCTGTTGGGGTTTCGGCCAGTTCGAACGGTTGCAACGTCCAGTAGCGGCCGTCCAGCTCCAAGCAGTTGCCGCCATTTGTCCGTGTCTCGACGACGAGATACAGCCTCATGTTTACAATACCAGTCTAAGCTCCACGGAAATTTGGCTGGTTCCACTGATTGAGAATCCGTAGACGCGGAAATGTGGCTGGCGCGGGGTCCTTGTGGTCTTTGTCGCCGGGGTTAATGCCTGGCCTCCGTCGTGCCCGGCACACACCACCAGACAGCTGAGCCACTTCCCTCGCAGATCAGTCAAATGACAGGCCGAGACGGGCCCGCCCGCCCGACCACTACTTCAAATATCTTCTACATGTCGGTGCCTCCTTAAGCTGCGCCCCAGAGGTCCTTGAGCCGAAAACAAAATCTTCAAACACCCGATGTATACTTCCTTTGAATTTTGGTGCATCTGGATGGACGCACGTTTGCTGCGGCGGGTTCCCGTGGCGGGACACTACCTAGCTCCGGTCTTTGTCGCAAGTCCCGTAACCACAGCCTGCTGTTCCGCCAAAGGCTTACAGGGAGCCATATCAGACGAGATTATTTACAGCCATATCAGACGAGATTATTTACAGCAAAAAACCCTCGTCCTTTGACGAAAGACCGGAGACATACTTACACGCCGTTCGTTAACCGTGGGCTTGAAGGCCTTAATTACAAGCAGATTTATGCCAATACAAACAATCCGAGCTAGTTCTCGCTTTTTTAAATTATGGCACATGTCCGTTGCGAACTGCCTTCTTGCTAAAGTAATACTTAATCCCGACACCCATGATAAGGCCGAGAACGGAGCAGGTTACCGAGGCCACAATGGCGATTGTGGCGCCTTGGGATAAACCGCTTCCGCCGGAGCTCGGAGTAGGTTCTGCTCCGGCAGGGTATGGGAGTTAGCCACGACTTGGACCTTGAACCTGTTATGCGCTCAATACTTACGCGGCGTTTCCGTGGCTGCCGATGTCTTACTCGGCGTCCTCGATGTGGGCGTCGTCATCACTATCGACGGTGTCCCAGCCGCCACCGTCTTGCCGCCCGGGTTGGCGCAGGCGGGATATCCGTTCAGGATGCTGCAGGTAGTACCCACAGGACAGAACCCGATCCAGGTCCCCATGTCGCAACAAATGTAGTTTGCGGGGATGCAGCTCCTAACGGATACGCCAACGCAGCACTGGTAGCCGGTCAAACAGCTGTAGGGATTGCCGAATGCTGCAAGGGGCTGTGGTCAGCGGGACGTTTTTGATGGGGGCGCAGCTGGCCGTGACGCACTGTCCGAGTAACAATATGCTCTCTTGTCCAGAGCTTGGTTGACGGTGAGAGAGCGTGGATCTAAACGTTCGGAGCGAACAAGAAACGCCGCCAACCAGACGGCGAGGATTCCTGGCCAGATATTGCCCATGGTTTAAAACAAGTGTCTGGGCTGCAGGCAAAATGAGACATACAATAAAAACCAAGACAGTCGTGCTCTTCCCCGCCTCTTATAGCTCCTTGCTTTGCGGCTCGGCCAGAAAGGCTGCCGAGATGTAAGAGGCCTGCTAGCTCGCGCTGTCGCGACGTGGAGCTAGCGATATATGTGGTATATATGATAGATGGAATCGACTGCGGACAGCGCGATACATGACTGGGTCGGCACTCAGCTGCTCCATGTGGTGCGCCAGGTATTGGATGTGACAAATTACGACCATCCAACCCATTTAGCGCCATCACATCCGAGGGGAAAGCCTAGTGGCCCACCTGCAAGCTTTCGGTCTCGGGCATCAGCCCTACTGCCTCCCCCGAGACCACCAAAAGGTCGCCTTCAGCACGAGGACATTGCATCCCTTGGGCATGGATCGAAACATGCAGCATCGGCAAGAGCAACAGTGCAGAGTTGACCGAGGCCATCAACTCCATTTTCCAGGGCTACAAAAAGGCGTCCACGTGTCACGCCCACCTCTCCGATCTCCATACAGGCCCAAACAGGGACCCCGCATCCCAAAGTGCAGGAGACCAGCTGCGTGTCGACCTGGGCTAGCGACGGTGGTTCAGCCGCGGCTGGACCCTACCAGAGAGCATGGCCCGGTCAACAAATGGCCTGTCTCTCGTTGCGTGGTCCGGAGACGAGGGGGGAAGCCGAGCCGCCCGTCCTACCATGGCGTTCTAGCCCGCCCTCCCCAGCAGTTCGCCTCCTAGAACCGAGCTAACTCGCTCCGCCACGACGCCCAGTTTTTCAACATGACGAAGCGCGGCGTCGAATTCCCAGCCTTCCTGAAGATGGACCATGTCAACGGGGACTACCTGATACATATCTACTGCCGCGACGGTGCGGTGCAACGTTCAAATGTCCGCTCAGGCGTGACCGCCATGCGCCTCGTCAAGATATCCTCTGGGTTCGCTCGGCTTCTAGATCCGCAAACTCCCGAAACTATCGACTCCTAAAAGCTTGCTTGCCGCCCAGGCATGCCAGGGCTTTTTGTCACTGGCTTGGTTCCTGATAAACTCCAATAGGCCTTCCTCGTCCAAGTCTGATTCCCAGGATATCAGCCCCAGCGAACCTTCTTTCCCGAGCAGAGATCAAACACCCTTCCTTTGCAAGGAATAAGCGCCGTTGTCCGGGTTATGACAAGCTCACCATAGTGGTGCGAGATCTTTGGGATGAGAGCCTTGAGATGCTTGGGGACAAAGCGTCCTCGCTCAAATATTCGGGCCTGTGTAGCATCTCAGTGTAATCATTTTCTACTTCTCTATTTTGTTTAGGTTTTTTTTTCCTTTTGTAATTTTGTCTCCTCGTGCGGCAGCTGTCGTTGTGCTGTTTTATCTCTTTTAGTGGCTATTACTATTCTTTTCAAAACTCGTTGTATCCGATTTCCCGCACTTCCTATCTTCCTCCTTGCCTTGGTGTTATGCTTTTACTTATATTGCCTTCGTATTCTGCGTTTGTTGCTCTTTTTGTGACGTTTTCCGGCTCTATTTTAAGTAGCCTTTCAATTCTCCCCAACGTCTGGCGGTAACTGGCTTTTCATTCGTGTCAGCACCATGCCGAGCCCATCCTTTAGTCCAGGATTCACTGTCGCCTCGATACGTAGCTGCAGCTCTTGTATGCGTTCCTGCAGTTCGCGCGTCTGTTCGGATACCGGACTTTCTTCCCCTTCCTCTTCATCTTCCGCCTCTACATCATCTCGCTCGAGCCCCTCGCCAAATGCGCTCTCGAATGCGGCAGCCATACCCGCATCCTTGATGGCAAAGACCACCTCCTCAATAACTTCCCACGTCTCAACCTGCCGGGTCTTCTGCTTCTGTCCCTTTTTCGGCGTCTGGTCTGTTCGAGGCATCAGCACCCTCCGCCACGCACGCGCAATCTCGCCCACAGGGTTACCATATGCGCCGCAGCCCCAGGCGCCAAGTACGACCTTGTGGACCCCTTTGGCCTGGCAGATGCGCATCACCATGCGCATCTTGTCCAGCACGAGCTTGCGGTCCTTGTCGTTGGTGTACCGTCGCTGGCCCGAGACCCCGTCGGCGGTCTCTCCGTCATCTTCATCCGTGTCGGGATTCCGGAGCATGGCCGCGGTGATGCAGTCAAAGAACCACCTGTCCCTTTTTTCGAGGATCGCATATGCCTTCTCGTCGCTGTTTGCTGCTGCTGCATCTCCTGCGCCGGCCTCTCCGTCACGAAAGGCCAGGACGTCGGGTGTGTAAATGGCGCCCAGCTCTGGCAGGCGGTACCACTCGTCCTTGAGAGATGCCAACAGGGTGGTCCTCATGCAGAGAGACTCCTCCTGGCTTGTTGCACCATTCAGGAAGCCCCCGCCCGGGCTGAGGGCGGAAGCCATGTTGAGAACAGCGACGCGCCTTGCTGATACTTTGGAGCCTGGCCGTGGCGCTCTCGGATCATTGCCAGACCCCACAGCCAGGGCTCTCGCAGCCGTGAGGGTATCCGTGACCTGCAGCCTCAGGCGAGGCGGCAACGACGGGCCATCGTCTCCTCGGGTGTCCGTCGGCTGGCCTACAATGAGTTCGGCGGCCTCGATGCCGCGGCGGGCGCGGGGGTGCGTGGGCAGCAGCGACGGGATTATCTGGTTGATGGTGGCTTTGGCTTTCTTGGCGCGGGCTGCTTTGCGCAGGCATGCAGGGGGGGCCCACTGAAGGCTCGAGTCGGCCCATCTTATACAGTTCGCTGGGGTGATTCAGCCAAGAGGAGAGAAGGAAGTTCTGTCAGGTTTCTGGGTTGGAAAGACATTCAGATCCCTAGTATTTCGCCGTCGTTGTCGCCACCGTTTGGCATTCTTTGTGGAAGAAGGAAGCATAGTGGACACCTGAGGCAGGAATTTTAGCTGCAGACATCAGCGCATGCAGTTATTCTGGCGGGGCATTTGGCGTATATCCCACCCGACCGAATTGGACCGAATTGGGACGTTTCATGCGCAACTACGCGTAGGGACGAACCTCGAATAAAAAACAACGGACGACCGGAAAACTGGCACTAGCAGCCATGGCCGCCATCGCTGAACCCCGGCGGGTCGCCGAGATCATGCTCTCATGGCTCGGTCTAGAGCTCGTCTCGTGCGTCGAGCTACAGTCGCTGTGGGCGGGCTACGGCCATATCTGCGCCCTCCGGGGCAAGGTCGCAGACGCGGCCAAGCTCCCTCAGGGCCTTGCTACCGCAGCATCGGACAGGAGCAACGTCGCCCTGATCCTCAAGCTGATCTCCCCGCCACGCCAAAGGGGGGCCAAGGCGATGGACGAGGGCCACCTGCGCAAGATGTTCAGCTACGAGGTAGAACAGTACTTTTACCAACAAGTCGCGCCGTCGCTGCCCAAGGACGACGTGGCCGTCGCAGAGTGCTTCGCGTCGACGAGGGACGAGCGATTCCTCGACAGCAGCCCCGAGGCGCGCGGGCTCGGCGGCGTGACCGCGACGATAATGACGGATCTGCGGTCGCGATTCCCCGTTGCCGGAGAGAAGCGCGCCGTCTTGAGCAGCCGTCAGATCCATTCGGCACTGGACTGGCTCGCCAAGTTCCACGGCACAACGAGGGTTCTGCTCTCGCCTCGGGTGGCGGAAAGGCTTGAGGTCGGGCTGGAGGATTATCTTTTGCCGCCGCTCGAAGAGGCGAAGCGACGACAAAATGGAACGTTGCAGACGGACGGCTCCAAGAGCGCCGCAGGGTCCAAGCTATGGCTAAACGGGGGCTACACTTATCTCGCCACGAGGCGCAAGGAATACCAGTCTCTTGTACGGGACGGCTACTCGGAATGGTCCGCAGCCTTTTGTCGGCCGACATCAGGAAGCTCCGTCGGCGAGATGGCGGCCAAGTTCCTCACCCCGACCGGCCGGCCGTTCGAGTCCTACATCCACGGCGACGTCAAGTCGGAAAACCTCTTCACCACGGCGCAAGGGGACCGCGTTGCCTTTTACGACTTCCAGTACGTCGGGCTCGGACTGGGAGTCTGCGACCTGGCCAAACTGTTCACGTGCTCCGTACCCCTTGAGATGCTCACTAGCTCTGACGAGGGGGGGCTTCCTGAAGCGCTTCCCATGGAACAGGAGGAGAGATCACTTGTGGAAGCGTACAGGCAGACGTTGCTGACTACGATCAGGGGTGACAATGACGACATGCGGCTGCCATATGACGACAATGACATGTTTCTAAGACACTGGGAGACGGCGCTGGTGGATTGGTGTCGCTTCCAGGCCTCATGGGGGTTCTGGGGGAACACTGAGTGGCTCGAGGCCAGGGTACGGTCGATCCTGGCGGACGAGGGCTGGAGGCAATGGCTGAAGCTACAGGTAGACGAGAAGAAATCGGATGCGAATTACAGATGAACTTGTTGAGTAGAGTCAAGCGGGGAGAATACAAGTTTTACAAATGGATTTATCTAGTATTGCCGAGATTGTGTTGGAAACAGAAAGGGGTTGTATGTCGTTTAGACATCCGGGCGACGTGGAGGTTGGGTTAGGTGCATCCCTCTCGGGAGAGATTGGTGGACGTCCTCGTCCTCGTCTCGCTATGGATGAGCCTCCCCTTCATCTATAGTGCCTTCATCGTCGGCTTTGTCCTTACCACCATGGCCGCCTTCTTCTCCGTCCCACCCTACGAGTACTCGGCCCCGGACCACCACCGACGGCCCCGAGGGTGTCATATTGGCCATTGCCGTGCTGCTATTCGTCATCAATATCTTCTCCGCTGTCTTCTAGATCTGAGACCGCAAGATCTGAGACCGCAAGATCCTGGAGTAGACGGCGCCCATCTACCACCTATTAGGTGAGTTGGCGGGTCTTTGCATGGCAGCGGCCGGCGCCGCGGTCCGGAAGCGTCTAGATTTACCACCGACTTCGGCCAGCGGGGTACATCTTCTTGGCGACCGTGTATGCTAAACATCACCTCTGCTGTTGGTGGCCCTGCACCTGCAGGAGCTCGATACGACCCCGTGCTGACTACATATGCGAACATGCATGACACCTTGGGAAATCTAACGATATAGATCTCGGTGGGATTTGGCCATAAAAGAAAGCAATTTGACCCTGCCGTGGTATTGCGAATTTGTGAGACTTGCAAAGGGGGTCTAGAAAATGTTGGGTCACAATACTGTCACTGTTCTCCAACTCCTGATATGGTTCAGCCCGTCGGCTACCGGGCTGCGAGTCCCTCGCTATGCCACAGCCGTTTCGGAAGCAGCCATCTCCAAGACTGAATACGACTTTGTCGTTACCGGCGGGGGCATTTCAGGCCTCACGGTGGCCGACCGACTGACCGAGGACCCCAACGTCAACGTCCTGGTCATCGAGACGGGGCCCTTCGACAAGGACGAAGACAGCGTCCTCGTGCCCGGCGCCTTCTTCCCGGTCCCGTACCTCTGGCCCGGCCTCACCAGCGCGCCGCAGACCGAGCTGAACAACCGGACCTTCGCGGTCCCCGCCGGACGTGGCGTGGGCGGTGGGTCCATCGTGAACGGTATGGTGTTTTTGCGTGGCGGCAGGACGGAGTACTCGCACTGGGAAAGGCTAGGGGCCGAGGGCTGGGGCTGGGACGGCCTGCTGCCCTACTTCAAGAAGAGCGAGAACTTGACCACGCCCCCCGCCGAGTTTGCCGCCGCCGCCAACATCTCGTGGGTCGAGGCGGCGCACGGGCGCGACGGCCCGGTGCGCGTCTCGTACCCCAACTACTTCTTTCCCGGGGCGGCCAGCTTCTGGCAGGCCGCGCTCGAGAGCGGCATCGCCCCTTCGCCGGACCCCAACGCTGGCGACCACGCCGTCGGCCTGTTCAACATCCCGACGCTGGCCGACGCGACCACTCGGACGCGCAGCCATGCCCGGCTCAACCACTACAGCCGCGTCAAGGAGTCGCGGCCGAACTACCACATTCTAGCCGAGCACACCGTGGCAAAGGTGATCTTGGAGGGGAAGCGCGCTGTGGGACTCGAGTATCTGCCTAGCGCCGGCGGGAAGAGGGCGAGGGTGTACGCCAAGAAGGAGGTGCTGCTTGCCGCCGGTGCGCTGCACACCCCGCAACTGCTGCAGTTGTCGGGCATCGGGTCCGGGAAGCTGCTGAAAAATTTGGGCATTGACGTTGTGGTCGACTTGCCGGGGGTGGGCGAGAACTTTCAGGACCAAGCCGAGCTCAAGGTTCCCTACATCAGTAAGGCACCATTCACGTTTGAAACACAGGCCAGCACTTGCTGACTAGGCACCCATCCGGACAGTCGCAAACCAAATCTTCCCAAACCCGGGGGCGCTGGACACAAACTCGACATACGACGCCGAGCAGCGCGCCCTGTACGACGCCAGGAGGGAAGGCGCCTACACCATCGTCCGCACCCTGTCCACCAACCTAGCCCTCCCAGTGCTCCAAAACTCGACGTCCGACTGGCGGGAAATCCTGGCACGCATCCGCGCCGCCGACCCGCTCGCGCACCTGGCGCCGGGGACGCCGGCCGCGGTGCGGGAGGGCTACCGGCGCCAGCGGGAGCTCGTGGTGGAGCAGCTCGCGGGCCGCGACGTGCCCATCGGCATGGTGCACTGGGGCACGGCCGGGACGGTGACGCTGTACTTCCTCAAGCCGCTGAGCCGCGGGTCCGTCCGGATCGACTCGACCGACCCGCTCGCGCGGCCCGTCATCGACTTCCGCACCGCCTCGGACCCGGCGGACCTGGACCTGGCCGCGGCGCTGTTTGACAAGCACGCGCAGATCATGTCGGCGCCGGCCATGCGCGCGCTCGGCGCCCGGCCCGCGGCCCCGTTCGACTACTCCGCTGGTGGTGGTGGTGGTGGTGGTGGTGGCGCGGACGCGAGGGCGGGGCTGAAGACGCTGCTGCGCGCGCACATGAGCCCGTCCAACGCGCACTCGTGCTGCACGGCCGCCATGGTGCCGAGGGCGGCAGGCGGGGTGGTGGACCCGCGCATGAGGGTGTACGGGGTCCGGGGCCTGCGCGTCGTCGACGCCAGCTACTGGCCCATGGTGCTGACTGCGGCGCCGACGGCGACGACGTACGCGTCGGGGGAGAGGATTGCGGATATTATAAAGGAGGAGTATGGGTTAGGGTCTGTGTAGAGATTTGAGTGGCCCAAAGTCGATTAGAAAATTTGCTGACAACAAACCCTCTTGATGCTGGAGTGGCAGCGCCTTGCAGGGCATGAACTCTAAATATTCCTCCACGGCCCTCGGTTGTGCTTGTACAGAATCACATTCGGGACAAGCACTAAATCGGAGGGATTTTTTCTTCCGCAAATATGGATAAAATGCATGCCCAAAACTGTACGCAGCGCTTTCTCACCCCAGTCTCTTGACATTTCCAGACATCTAGATCGATCGTGACGAAAATGCACCTACTCCCGCGATTGGCCTCCATTGCAGCTGCTCAGAGGGAGGATAGCTTGCCAAAGGCTCCTCAGCAGGGAACGGCATGGGGAGGGCCCACTCGACATTCCCTTCTGTTGCCTCAAGGTTTGTCAGTCCCCGTTGCTCCCTGTCCGAGACCCTCCGCTCAAAGTCGTTGAACAGCCACCGCGGGACCTGGGGCATGTCGGCGGGCATGTCTCTGCTCCAGCGAATCAGGTCGGCACACATTGCCATGAGATGGATCAGCAGGATACCGAATCTTGTCACGTTGAGCGAGTTTGATGGTTCTTGCTCCTCCCGTTCCCGCTCCAGTATTTCGATGGAGGTGGTGAGGGTGAGGACGGCTTTTGCCAAGCGAAAGGCTTCCTCGTCGTGACATTTGCAGGTTGCCTCATGTGGGAAGTATATGTCAGCTTGGTGGTAGAGCATCTCCATGATTAATGGGATAATGATTACGGCACTGAAGCCCGCTAACATGGCAAATGCATGTTGCCGAAAACACAACAACATGAAATGCACCGAAGATGGAGAATAGGGCAGGACAAGCATAAAACTCACAGATATTGCCTGAAAGAGGCTAGACCAGATAAACGATATGCAGGGAAACACGTCGTCCTCGTGCTCTTCAGAGTGGTACGCACAGACGTCGATGGTGGCACCCAGCTTGCGGGCATGCAGGTCGAGCAGCCACAGGCTCTTCTGCATCTTGTCCATCATGCAGGCCGTGTTGTAGTCGACAAACGAGAGCTTTTGCATCTCCAGCCCAAAGTCGTCGGCGTCCCGCAGCTCGCTCAGCCAGCCGTTCTCCTCCTCGGCCGCGAGGTGGCGCCTGACATGGTCCCTGAGCAGGACCATCTCGGCGTAGAGCTTGTCCTGGCTGGACGGGGCCCGGGGGGATGGATGCATCAGCAGTGTGACCACCAAGTTGGCTATGCGGTGTAGGTGTCCATGGCAGGGTAGTGGTTTATCCATGGGTCGAACAAGAATGGCAGGACATCGTACTCGGAGGGCCGAACCATTTCAACGATATTGTGCTCATCGGGGTCGGGAAGGACACTGGAGTAGAGTAGGTATTCGGACATGTTTGGGCTATGTCCTGGCCCAATGACCCGGGGGTAGAATGATGCGTTTACGTGATGGTGTTGGGCTTGCAGAAGAATGTGGTGGCGGTTCCGTAGACACTTGGCTCCCCAAATAATGTCCTGCAAGGGTTTGACGGCAACAAAATCTTGAACGGAGAAAGAACCAGTTATATAGCGCAACATGGATATGTAATCTCATCGACCACTTTCTGCGGGTGACAGGGTTGGACAAAACACATACAATTTGGTGATCATCACCCCCAGGTTGTTACAGCCGTTCCGTCAGTGGAACAGCCGGTAGCACACACGCATGGCCCCAAAAATGGGCAGGATAAAACATGAGTCAACCAGACCTCAAATCGGCTCGAGCCTCTCCTAGATATTTCCTTTCTTCCCAGAATCCTTGATGATGATCTCGGCGGCCCTCTCGGCGATGCCGTAGACGGCCGACTGGATGTGGCCAGACACGAGCAGCGGCATGACGCTCGCGTCGACGACACGCAGGTTCGCGGTGCCGTACACCCTCAGCGCCGGGTCGACGACGCCACCGTCCCGCCTCGGCAGCATGGCGCAGCTGCCGGCCGGGTGGAAGATGGTCGACATGGTCTGCCTGGCCCAGGCCTCCCACTGGGCGTCGGTGGCGTCGGGCCCCAGCAGGTCGAGCCCGGGCTCGGCCTCGGCCACGACGCCCGACCGGAGCGGCTGGGTGCCGGCCACGCGCCTCATGAACCGTGAGCCCTCGACGACGGCGGCCAGGTCGTAGCGCGCGCTCAGGTAGCGGGGGTCGATGGCAGGCCGGGTCGGGGACGGCTCGCCCGGCCGCAGGTGCACGCTGCCCACCGAGAGCGGCTGCATGACGCCCGACAGGAGCGAGAAGAAGTCGCGCCCGTACAGCGGGCTGCCGGCCTGCGGGTAGCCCTTGGCGCCCGTGTACGAGTCGGACCAGATGCCCTCGGACTCCGGGTTGGTCGGGCCGGCGGCCTGGATCATGGCCGCCTTCTTCTTGACCACGACCGACGCCGACGCCGCCGCCGCCGCCTCGCCCGCCAGCG